GGTAACTATGTGAGGAGATCGATATGTCAATTAGCTTGACTATAGTATTACTATGTATATGTATACCAAAACATCATGGTGTATGCCTTAACTGTATATAACTTTTGTTTTGTTAAAAATAAGCATATATGAGCTAAAGTTAGTTGCTGTGCTATGTTTTTAAATGGACTGAAAAATGTAAATGTTCTATGGAAAATAATAATACTATATTGGATACTTGAAATTTGCTAAGAGTGGGGTATTTATTCTCACTGCACACATACCAAATGGTAAACGTGTGAGATGATGGGTGTGTTAATTAGATTGGTATGATAATCATTTCACAATGTGTACATGTATCAAATCACTACACTGTATACTGTAAATGTATACCGTTTTTATTTGTCAATTCCACCTCAATAAAGCTTGAAAGACATTTATTAAAAGAACTAAAATACGATCATAAAGAAAAAAGAATAAAAAAGAATCACCATTCTTGACAGTTTCTAAAGCCCATTCACATTTTAACATTCCATAGTTCTATAATTCTGTATTTGCAAAAAAAAAAAAAAATGAGTAAACGTATAAAGGAATTCTTGAACTCTCTTGCAAAATAAAGGTAATACTCTTACCCAATAATATGAAAAACAACCATGAAATGCCTTGCATGATTAATTCATACAATAAAAGACTTGGAATAAAAAGATGTGTCCTGTCACTAAAATGAACAAATAATAATAATTAACATTGATGTGCCAATCCCGGCTCTAAGCACATCACATGTGTTAATTTATTTAATCCTCCTAATAACCATAAATCCTATTATAATCTCCATTTTTCAGACACACAGAACTAAAAGCAGAGAGCCAAAGTAACTTGCCCAAGGTCATTTAGCCAGTAAGTAGCAGAGGTGAGCTTTGAACCTAACAGTGTGATTTAGACCCTGTACTCAGATTTCTGTGTTAAACATAGCCCGCTGAAATATTAATCCATCTGAAATGTTCTTGATAGAACTACAGAAGGATAAAATGTTGGAGTTGAAATCACTCTTAGGGATCAGTGTATTCCAAATCTTTCATTTTACAAGTAAAACCAATTTTAAAAGGGAAAAATAATATCTTGGCTCTGCTGAAAGTTCTATCAATTTCCCTAAAGTTTCTCAAAATGATTTCTATCAGAATTTTCAACTTAAGGACTTACATTTCTTTTTAAAAAGTAAAACAATCATTAGCTCAGAAAACATCAGACAAATAGAAGCTTTAAAACTTAGAATAAATGGTCATTAGTTTAGGAGATTGTTTCCATTTTGTTGTGGGAAGTTTTCCATTCAAATCATCTGATTTAGGTCTAGAAAGGCACTTTGAAAACACAGCAACATCCAGAGTTCTGCAATGGGTAGTTCAGTTATCAAAACAAAAACAAAAACAAAACCCTACCGTAGTTAGGCAATAAGACATAACAGGTTGTACATTTCAGAGTGATTATTGTTAAATTGCCCAGGGCCAAGAATTTTTCAGCCACCCAAGCAGTACAGTAATTTTCCTGGAGTTCAAAGCCAGGAATGTACACATGAATTAAGTTCTTTCATTAAAAAAAATTTTTTTAGGCTCTCATTTGTTCAAGTTTGGATGTCTGGCATCATTGAAAACCAACCAAAGATTGAGTGTTCGGGTCAACCAGAGAAGCTGGAACCAACCACGAGAGCCTGAAGAATCAAGGCATTTCTTCTTAAGGATCTATTTCAGAGCGGACATGTAATAAGTTGAGTTTTGGGGAGTACTTCTATGATATACCATTGTTTCAGCAGAAAACTAAATTTTATTCTGCAGATAAAGCACGATGCCTATATATTATTTTTTCTAGAGTGCCGAACATATCTCAAGACAGATTCAGCAGATTTATTCCAAGTGTGAAAAAACACAGGCAACCCCAGGCACTTGTTTTTCCCAAAGACCTTCGGCTCAAAATAATCAGTATTACAAAGTGCATATTTTGGGATTGACGTGCCTTGAGTTCCTTCAACTGTCACCATCCATGTTTGGATCTAAAGCTTTTTGGAGTTTTATGATTCTTCGGAGATGATTTTGGCCCTTGACTGTTGCGCAATGAGGTGCTAAGACAGGCTGTTTTCAGTAACTTGGTTCCTCTGTTGGCGTCCTTAGAATTTTAGGATTGACCATGAAATTATTTTCCTTTAAACTTCTCTTGAAGTTCATCTAGAAATGGAGAGTCCTTTAAGATACTCTTTTCAGAGACAGGTGCCTATTCCAGCTTTGGGAAGGCATTTGGAATTGTCTAAGCCTTCAGTCTCAAGGCATGGTCTGTATCTCTATTACACACTTAAACAGCTTTATCTCTATGTGGGGACCTTTCCTCTAAGGTCCCAAAAGGCCACTGGGTTGCTGCTTTACCAGAAATAACCGAAGAGCAATCATCTCTCTAACGATGAGCATTTGCTTCTCTTAGAATATTTTCATGTGCTTTTGTTCTGCGTTTCTCTATTTTAGCTTCAATACAGCATCATAATGTGTCTTGTAAAGATATTGTATTTAACTAACAGGAATCGAAATTAAAGTTAAATTGAGCTCCTTGCTGAGCTGGAAACACAACACAACAGGGGTGAGTTTTGCTGTGTGTGTGTGTGTGTGTGTGTGTGTGTGTGTGTGTGTGTGTGTTGCTGATTAAGTTCAGGGCATGCAACCCCAAAATATGCACTTTGGTATATTGAATTTTTGAGCTAAAGGCACTTGAAAGGCAGAAAATACAGGAACAGACTTTTTTGGATCTTCCTTTATCCACCTAAGGACAGAACCTCCAAAATGAACTCAATTGTTATGGATCCCTGCCCCAGGAGCTTTATCAACCAGACAAGACTGACTCATCACTGGAGAAGAGACTAGATATTGCCACCACACCCAAACTTTGTCACAAACTGTCACATTTCCTATCTTGTCCATCCCATTTATCTTCCCTAAAAACCATCTGCTCTCCCTTAAATTGCCTACATGCTTCCCTCCCTTCCCCTACACAAGCTGTCAAATCTCACCACTGTTTGGGATATACACTGTTTTCCTATGATGCCCCTCTATACGTAATATTAAAAATTAACAAATGTGTTGGGGTGCCTGGGTGGCTCAGTTGGTTGAGCATCTGACTTCAGCTCAGGTCACGATCTCACTGTGAGTTTGAGCCCCGCATCGGGCTCTGTGCTGACAGCTCAGAGCCTGGAGCCTGCTTCAGATTCTGTGTGTGTGTGTGTGTGTCTCTCTCTCTGCCCCTCCCCAACGCACACTCTGTCCCTCTCTCTCCTTCAAATATAAATAAACATGAAAAAAATTTAAAAAAAAAATAACAAATGTGTATACATTTTCTTCTGTTAATCTGCCTGCTGTCAGTTTATTTCACAGACCCAGCTCTCCAGTCTCAGAGAGAAGAGGAAGTCTTTCCTTCCCTACACAGAGAGGAAGAAAGAGGAATATGATGACATCAATAAATGTAGCCCACTGTCAGTGAGTAAAAGAATGGACATGTGTACATGAAGCTGATTATTAAGTCCATGGTGTATCTTATAACTGTGGACGCTCAGAATCCTGGAAATATAACAGCTTCGTCTCCAGCCTGCCAAAGTGCTTGGAATTTCCACCATTAAAGCTCTGGGAAGTTCTGGTTTCAACAGGAATGTTTCTCAAGAAGTACAACAAAATAACACACTGCAATCTTTTTTTGAAAATGAACATGTTTTACCTTAGATTAGCCAGTCCCCCCAAAAGGCCCCTGAAAAGATGAAAATTGAAAAACTTTTTTTTAAAACATTTATTTCTGAGAGACAGAGAAAGACAGAGTATGAGCAGGGGAGGGGCAGAGAGAGAGGGAGACACAGAATTCGAAGCAGGCTCCAGGCTCCGAGCTGTCAGCACAGAGCCCGATGCGGGGCTCGAACTCACAAACCATGAGATCATGACCTGAGACGAAGTCAGACGCTTAACCCACTGAGCCACTCAGGCGCCCCCGGAAAGCTTTTTTATGGTGATGGGGGGCGAAGAGTAGGGGAGGGGTAAAGAGGGAGAGGAGGCAAGACCGGCAAGGAGACAAAATTATGGGCACTCCAAACCTGACTGAGGGGATTCAGGCACAAGTGACGAGAAGAGGGGAGCATCGAAGGCCGATCTTCACAATGGTTGTACTACTCCAAATAAAAACGAATTTATTTCCGTTAACACCCAGCTTACTGCTGACCCAACGCAGCATACCATTTGGCTGTAAGCAGCACTCATTTCAGGTCCATCACGGTTCATATCTGGTCCTCAACAGCAGCCTCCACAGAAACAGAAATGAAACCAAGACTTGAATATTTACGCTCATAATGTCAAATAAAACAATTTTTCCAAGTGGTTCAGCCAGGTATCGACAGGAAATTAAACCAGAATTCATGGAGGAATGAATTTTCTGATAGGTTTTAGAGTCCAGCATCCCATATTTTCAGGCAAAACGGAATAAGAGAAGCCATTCCTGGCATTAAACCAACTCCCTCCCTTCCCCTGGAAGGTCTTTGTTCCTATCATAAGTGACTCATTGGATTACCCCAATTAAGTCCTGTTAGCTCGGTGGGTCTTTGTTTCTCTACTCACCCCCAGATAATACCTACAAAGGATCTGAGGTTCCTAGATAAGAGGCAGCATTTCAGGAGAATCTGGCATTTATATCATGATGAAATCTATGACATCATCATCGCCGTTCTCCTTGTCATTACAGCCCACCAAGGGCTTCCATTGTCTTTTCAGAACTAGCCTTTGAAAGCGGGAACATCACTCTTCAGTAATCTCGAAGCTCAGCCAAGGGTTATTAAGTTTGAAGCAGGAGGGGTGCCTGGGTGGCTCAGTCGATTGAGCGTCCAACTTCGGCTCAGGTCATGATCTCACGGTTCATGAGGTCGAGCCCCACATTGGGCTCTGTGCTGACAGCTCAGAGCCTGGAGCCTGCTTCAGATTCTGTGCCCCTCCCCCACTCATGTTCTGTCTCTCTCTCTCTCTCTCTCTCTCTCTCTCTCTCTCTCTCAAAAATAAACATTAAAAAAATTTAAAAAAAATTTGCGGCAGGATTCAAAGCTACCCTGCCATACTTACAAGAGGCTAGTTTAAGATATGTTTAATATGGATCTTCCTTTGCAGCAGCAGAGCACGATCCTGGGGAAGAGAGAATGGAACAACAGACACAAAATGTCCGATTTCCGTTTCACACCTGATTGCCAAGCCCTAGAATTCCACACGCTCTCAGAAACACGCATAGCTGTATCTTGATCAAGAAAGGCTCATGAACCACAGTTTGTGCTGAGTCAGATTCAGGTTCCCTTGCCAATTGTCATACCTGCCTCTCTCCAATCCGGTTTCTCTTGCTCCCTGTCCCCCGCTATCTTGGGATGCCCACCTTTCTCACAACGTGGCATGAGCATACAGGCTGCAGACACAGTCCTACAGACTAACTCCAGGAGGTCACCTGTCCTCACCGTGTGTGATCTGTGACCTACGGACGCTGGCAGCACAGTGAAAACGGCACAGAACTCGAGAATTCTTCAAAACACTCCATATAAGGAAACAGGTTCTTCCGTCCTCTGTGTCCACTGGATGTTCATAACCATACTTTCCTCTTTGCAGAGTTCTATTCGTCTTGATAAAGTCTATCACGGAAACTAAAAGTCCCCCACAAGGCTTTGGGGCGCTCAAACTTTGGGTTTCAATTCATTCCACCAATCTCTCCAAATTTTATATCTCTTTTCTTCTACCCTTTCCTTCTAACTTACCTCCAAGAAAAATTCCTATTGGTTTTGCCCACATGCCAAGTGTTAGAAAGGAAACTGTGCATGGCCAAAGCCCTGACTTTGAAGACAGAAAGGACAGTACACGCTGGGGGAGGGCAGGCCTGAGTAACGGTCCGCAACAGAGACGGTCGCTTCACCAGAACGGACACAGCAAAACTGAGTGCTGCAGGCCCCTCCTGCACCTGACCGCTATTACCTCGTCACAAATCCCGGCAGGCAGGGTGGCATGGTAGCTTCCCCGGGACGCTCGGAAGCGGCAGATACGGTCATGGTCTTTCAGGCTTGTTACTCCTGCTATTGTATCACCAGCTCATCAAACCAGGCAGTAGACACGGACCCAGAAAAAGGCACAATGGCAGCTCCAGGAGGGGGTCGGGGGCCCGAGCCAGACAGACATGAGACAGAGCGGGCACACTCTGTTTCCGAAGGAGCCCAAAGGGAGAGTGGTCGGAGGACTGAGGATGGTCGTTCACATACACCATCTCGTATCATCTCACCTAGCCCAGGAGGTTTCCTGAGGATGAACCAAGGCCTGTCTGGCTCCCAAGCTCACATTCTGCCACTGCCCAGTGTCCCCAGTCTGACTAAGTGACTGCCAGGTGTTTGTGAGGCTGGGGCCCAGGGTAGAAACAGGGGCCTTGGGATTTCAAGTCTGGGAGATCTTTTCTGAGAGTCATAGTTAAGGCTTAACAGCGTGTACCTTGGAGTAAACAGGCCCAGTCCCCATCGCCGCTCTGCCACTGGCTGAGTAGTAGGAGAAGTGTAGACTTCAGGCGAATGGCTCAAGCTTCTTACACTTCAGCTCCCGCAGCTTCAAAGTGGGGCTGTTGTGAGGTTTCAATGGCAGAGTGCACTTTAAACACCCAGCCTGGACAGTGACACATAGTAAGGACTTCCTAAACATTATCATATTCACTATCCATTGTTTGAGAGTCGGCAGCTGAAAACATTTGTGAATGAGGAGTTTATGCCAGGAAGTGTAAGAAGAAACACCCAGGAGGTCTGGAGTTGTCAAAAGTCCCGGGCATCCGTTTCAAATGGCCAGCACCACCAGCCTTGGAAACTTGGCCCCCACTGACTCTCTATTCTAAGTTTCCCTTTGGCAAAAAAGTGCCACCTTCGACCCAGTCCCCCATCCTAGTCTCTGCAGGTCCCTACTGGAGACGGAAGCATATTTTTCTAATTCCAAAACTGGGATACATAGCCTGACAAGTATAGTTACGTCTGGAAGGGGACAAGGCACAGAATATCTCAATCTGGTTCTAGTTTAGCTATTCTAGGAAATGGGTCAAGGGGGACCCCCAGGCAGTAAAAGTGCCTAACGCCTCCCCCTCCACAACGCATGCACCTCGACGGTCCAGGTGGCTGACACCTATTCCCACAAGACATCGTTTGGGTAAAGACGGTAAGTTACCCCACTATTTAATAAGGTCTGGGGGTGGGTAAAAAAAGTATTGCCAGCTGTCGGCACCTTGGCATGAACTAATTGTCAGGATCTAAAAAGACTCCTAATAAGGTCTCACGGGGACGTGGCAAGGATAGTAATGGACTAGAAGTGATCTCTAAACTGCAATCCTACCTGAACGTTGGCATCACCTGGGCACCGGTGTGCAGAACTGAAGAAGGGGCAATTAAGTGCAGGACAGGGTTGATAGTTGCTCTGATTCTTAACGTCACCTAAGGTTGGTTTTGCCCCTGCAAATGTCAAGGCTCTGGGGCCTCAGGACTCACTTCAGACCTGCACCCCACCAGCGCGGGGTCCGGGTGGCAGGAACGCTGGCGTGGGGACCGAGGGCCGTGACCGCTTCTTGTTCTCGAAATCCCCGCCGGGGCCCAGAGCACGGCGCTCCCCTACGAGCTCATCACGTGCACAGCCCCGGCGTTTCAAACCCGGCCCGAAGCCTGAGGTCCCGGACGCCGGGGTGGTTTTTAGGGTTTTCTTTCTTTATTATTTCCCTTCTTGTTCTCCACAGTTGGTGATTTTCTGCAGAAAAACGGCTGAGAAAAAAAGAACCTATTTCATTTCCAGTTCCCATCACCGCGATTTCCACATGGATGTGACGTGGGCCAGCTTCCGAAATGCCCAGGTGACTCACGCGGGGACACCCGGGGGCGGGGCGCAGGAGTTTCTCGCGCGGTGGGCGGGACGGGGCGGGGCGGAGCGGAGCGGGGCGGGGCGGGGCGCCATTCGCCTCCTGCGCCAGCTGCCCCTCCAGCGCCAGCTGCCCCTCCAGCGCCTCCCGCGCCTTGCGCGCGTCCCGCGCCCTCTGCGCCCTCTGCGCCCCCTGGCGGCCGGCGACCCGCGGCTCTCGGCGCCGGGCCCGGCGTCACGTGACTGGAAAGTCCCTAGGTGGAAATCCCCCCCGACCCTCCGCCGGCGGTAAAACAGAAAGGGAAAAAGAGAACTGGCAGTCTGCAGACTTCGCAGCGGGCCAAGTGCAGCGAGCTCGGAGCCCGCGGGGGCGGAGCGGTGACAGCAGCCGCCAGGAGAAGTGCGGCGGCGGTGGCGGCGGCAGCCGTCTTGATCACACCCCCGGCCGGCCCGGCCAGCGAGCGAGCGAGCGCCTGGCTCCGGCGTCCATGGGGCGCCTCCTCCGCGCCGCATCGATCCCGGCCCACTGCGCGCGCAGGTCCTGACCTGGACTTGGGACTTAGGAAGAGGATCGCGCGGCCGGGACAGGTAACCGCCGTGTCCCCTTGCCGTCTGCCCAGCGGCTCCGCGGGGCCAGGGCTGCGGGTGAGGAATCGGCACCGTCTCGCGGGCTGGCCTCGTCTAGCTGGCGTGGGCTTTGCAGCGGTGCTGGAGGGGAGTTTGTTGGCCGTATGTGCCCATTGTAGCTCTTGAAATGCTAGGACTTGAGGTCGCCGCGCCAGATGTTCGGGTGACAGCTCTGGATTCGTCCAGCCAACTGGCCCTTTTACATGCTGCAACAAAACTTACGCTGCAGCGGACTGGTGGAGAATCGCCTCCGGACTGCTAGGTCGGTGGTCGTTGGTGCTTTGCTCCTTTTCGTGCCTTTCTTTATTTTTAAGTCAAGCTCTGCATGCTTTTGGACACGTAGACCTTGCAGAACCGCTGTGGCTTCTTGGCAGATTGTGGAAACCCAGCCCACCGCCGGGTGGGGTGTCGCAGAGGCAACTGAACCGGCGGGGGTGGGGGACTCAGCCAGCCTGCCTGTCCAGGGACAGCTTGCAGAGACACTCCAAGTTAAGTGCAAGGAGGTGGGTGGGGTCGAGGGACAGGCGTTCATCTTTTTCTGTTGGAAGCAGCGTTAAGACAAGTGTGCGCGTTGGCCTGCTTTTCGGGTGCTCCTCCGGTTCACAGTGTTCTGCGGGCCCCTGCCCCAGCCCCTACCCCACAGTCAGACAGTCTTTGTCAGCCCGGGTCGTCCCACATCCTGCCACCTGGCCTCTCAGGAAAGCAGTGGTATTAAGTAAGGAAGGAGCTCAGCTCTTTTGAGACCGCTTTGTTTTCAGTTCTCCCTGTCTCTGATCTTTCCTTGGAAAGCTGGTCTGGTCTAGTGTCTGGGGGCAGCATTTGGAGAGAACCATTGTTCATGAAACAGCTCTCTCTGGACCACAGCCCTAGTGTCCCCAGTGACTGAACAGCCAGTTACTGCCCCCTTCTCGCTGTCTAAGGTGCTTCTTTGATTTTTACAATTCCTCGTGCAATGTTTGAAGTGTCGGCGGGATACTTTTCCTGAAATTCGGGTGAGGCATTTGTGGATAAAAAGCCAGTGAGGTAACCAGCATAAAAGTAATGTTAAGGGTAACAGCGTACATCTTGACCTGGAAGGGCATGACAATCATAGGTCAGGAGAATCTATTCCTTAATCTTAAATGTGGAGAAGTCCAAGAACGGGGAGCTTGGGCTGTGCATTTTGATTCTTTTAAGGAGGCACTTCTGCACACTGTGCGAGGCTAAGCCTATGAATGAGATGACCTTGAGCCATCCAGTACTGGCATTTGCATGTCTTGCATATGGTTTACAGCCCTCACTAGTTAAGGTCTTTGCTGAAAGATTTTTAAGTCAGAAGAGAATAATAGAAGACCCAGAAAAACAAAAAGGCAGCACTTAGCTTGTTTCAAATCTTTTTCCTTCCCGCCTCTTCCCCTCTGAGAGCAGCAGGCGCTTGTGGGAACACCTTGCGTTGTGGGAATAGCGAGGGGCAGGTGTTGGAAGTTGTGGCGTCTGGGCAGAGCTCTCTGTGCTGGATGGTGTGGAACCTGGGCGGGACCTGTGCTTCTGTTGCCTTGGCTGCAGACCGAGAATAGGGTCAACTTTGATTTTTTAGCCCCAGCATTAAGCATGGCACTCGACCTTCAGTAGGTGGTCAGGCAGTGCTTCTTGAGTGATGAACAGATGAATGAGTGATACCGTGAGACTTTTGCTGTGCCACAAAGCAGAAATGTGTGTAATGTTTCTGTCCCTTCATTGTGCTTGGGGTCCTGTTATAATTTTGCCCATTTCCACCTTCAGAGAATGTCTGACGTCAAAGGACAGGTTACCAGCTGACCCAGAGAGTGACGTCTCCCAGGCCTCACTGGCAATCAGAATAGGAATCCTTATCCAAAACGATCACCAGAAAACTCCTTGGAAGCAACGTCAGGGTCATCTAGTCCAACCTCTCTACCTTGAGACACAAGAATTTAAACCACTTTATCAATGGCTTTATTTTTTTTTTTAATTTTTTTTTCCACGTTTTTATTTATTTTTGGGACAGAGAGAGACAGAGCATGAATGGGGGAGGGGCAGAGAGACAGGGAGACACAGAATCGGAAACAGGCTCCAGGCTCCGAGCCATCAGCCCAGAGCCTGACGCGGGGCTCGAACTCACGGTCTGCGAGATCGTGACCTGGCTGAAGCCGGACGCTTAACCGACTGCGCCACCCAGGCGCCCCAACTTTATCAATGGCTTTAAAAGAGCGTACTCCCACTTAGGAGTGGCTTCCCTAAAATCCAGGTTTCTTCTTACTCGTAGACAGGTTTAAGGTCTTTCTCAACTAAAAGCTTGCCTAGTCAAATACACATACTATGATACAGGAGTGAGATTAACAGTTCCCATGAAACTTCCTAGGGAATATCTTCATGCTCTAAACCCATCTTTGTCTCATCTTGGAAACCCAGATGTATTGTGAGGCACCCTCCTGAGGCTTAGGAATGAGAACTGGGTTTCTACACAGCCACACGCTGCAAAGATCCCACGTTGCATCAATTCACAACATCCCATGCCGTTGGCGTGTGTTGTAGATGCTGGGGTTTGCCCCGTCTTCTTTCATTTGTCCTGAGTGTCCCCCTGGCTGAAACATCATTCCTTATCTGCTTCCAGACTTTCATTTCTTTCCACCAGAAAGAAAGAATGCTTAAAGATTTCACGGTGAAGACGGCGGGTGGGGGGGGGGGATGTATTATCCAAGTGTTGGTTGATCATAAATCTGGTTGGCAGTTGAAATGATTGAGCTCTAATGCCTGCTCTTGGAAGTGTGAAATTTCTTCTTCTGTTATTGTTATTTTTCTGTTTCTTATTCTGATCTTGTAAAGTTCAGTGGAGAGGTTCTGAAAGATTGCTTATTATCTGGTCTTAAAACTGCAAAGCATCTTACTGGAAATAGGCTTTTTTCGTTGGTTATACTCAGTTAAAGCTCTATAAATTTTAGAATACATTTTAGAAATAAGCTCTTTATAAATATTTCACCTTGGGGCTAAAGGAGAAACTTGAATCAGCAGCCTATGTGACAACATAATATTTCAAGATTTCTCACAAAACATTTACTTTCCAGTATAGGGAGGGAGGGCTTACAAGAGATGAATCAAGGCTTTGCCTAAGAGCAAGGGGAGTGGTCATAGGGGAGGAGCCACGGACTTGTCAGGACTACCTTGTGCCTGGCACTGGCATTCAGGGCTCCCGAGATCCAGTGGCTGTGTCCGAGTAGCGTCAGAATGAGATGGGGGCTTGTTGGTTATGAGGTACAGTACCTGTCGCTGACAGATGGGCTTGGCTCCCTGACAAACGTTACTGAAAACGCGGGTTATTCCCCTCCTCCTCAGTACCCACTCTCCGCCTTCCTTCTCTTGTTTAGACTAATCTGTAAAAGTGATGTAACTTAAAAGAGTCCAGTGTGAGTTCATCTTGGGGGCCAGCTAGTATCCTGGGACTAGAGGCGGCTACGATCTTTTGCCTACAGATCAGGGTAATGACCAGATCAAACACAGGGGTTTCCTGCCGCCAGGTATATAGGAGCGGTATCGGAGTTGGACTCACGGAATGGGTTTCCCCCCCTCCTCTTCAGGTGTCGCAGAGCACCATGGCTGAACAACTCCTTCCCCAGGCTTTGTATTTGAGCAACATGCGGAAAGCTGTGAAGATACGAGAGAGAACTCCAGAAGATATATTTAAGCCTACCAACGGGATCATTCACCATTTCAAATCCATGCACCGGTACACGCTGGAAATGTTCAGAACTTGCCAGTTTTGTCCCCAGTTTCGGGAGATCATCCACAAAGCGCTCATCGACAGAACCATCCAGGCCTCCCTCGAAAGCCAGAAGAAGATGAACTGGTGTCGAGAAGTCAGGAAGCTGGTGGCCCTGAAGACGAACGGTAAGCTCGGTCTCGGGGCTGGCCGCCACGGTGCCGGCAGAATTCGTCCAATTCCGGTCGCACTAGCCCAGACGCGAGTCTCTTGAGACCGTGGACGCTTCGGTGTAGGAACTCTATGATAGGCATGTGATGAAAGCAAGCTTCCTTTGCCGCTATTTTTGTTAAGGCTACTCTGTAGTTGTGTGTCTTAGAGAGCAGAGGCACTGAGGCTCGAGGAATGCATTTCTAAACGCCATGCCTCCCATTAGATGACTTCCGTATCTAGTTGCTGGGGCTGTTCAGTCCTTTGTAAAATACGCTTCCCTGGCCAGTAGTGGAAACCTTCGAAGGTTTTCAGGTCAAAAGGAAAGCATGGTGTGAAAACTAGTATTACTGTTGTTATTTCCCACTACCATCAGAGGATGCTTGTGATAATGACCTTACACTTCTTGAATTGATTGCATGTGTGGCTTAACCAGTGCATGGCTGTTGAGGACAAAAGGGGCCCCTTGTTGTCGGCTCTGCTCTTACCTCGGTTCTGTTGGTTTTGGTCCCATGATATGAGATAGAAAGGTACTT